TGATACATCTGCCTATCCTTAGGCGAATACCCCTATGTCTTAACTACTGAAGCTTTATAGTAGGTTTTTAAAATGGGCTAAGTTCCTCAAACTTCCTTTTTACAAAATTGTTTTGTGTATTCTATGTCCCTTGTATTTTCACATAATTATAGGACCAGCTTTCCAGTTAAAAAAAAATGCTCGGATAGGCATTGCATTCAATCTATAGATTGACTTAGAGAATTGCTATCTTAACAACAATGAGTCTTCATATATATAACCAAGGAACATATCTCCATTTATTTAGATACTTAGCTTTCTTGGGATTGTTTTATAGTTTTATGTGTATGATTCTCACATTTTGGGGTTAAACTTATTCATTTGTATCTTATTTTTTTGATGTTTTGGGAATGGAATTATTTTCTCGATTTCAGTTTTGAAATGTTCATTGCTAGCATATAGACCATACAGTTGATTTTTGTATACCAATCTTATACCTTGTGACCTTGGCTAAAATTATTAGTTCTTTTATCTTTTTTCCTTTTTTAAAGCTTCCTTAGGATTTTCCACACACAGGATTATATGATCTGTGAATAAAGAATTCTAATACTTCCTTTCCAAACTGTATGCATTTAGTGTCTTTTTCTTGCATAACTACATGGACTAGAACCTCTGGTTTATTGTTGAATAGTAGTAGCAAGAGGAGGCATCTGTCCTTTGTTCCTGATCTTTGGAAGAAAGATCTGTCTTTCACCACTACCATGTTAGCTATAAGTTTTCTCACAGATAATTTTACAGGTTGAGGAAATTCCCTTCTATTCCCAATTTGTTGAGAATTTTTATCATGCATGGGGGTTGGATTTTGTCAAATGCTTTTAGTACATCAATTGGGGTGGGCATTTGGTTTCTGTCCTTTACTAATATGGTGTATTACATTAAGTGAGTTTTGGCTATTAAACCAACCTTGCATTCCTGCAATAAAACCCACTTGGATTCAATTTACTTATTGTTTCCTAAGGATATTTTATGGCTTATAATAATTATTTTTCTATTGCTAGATTCAGTTTGCTGTTTCTTAATGCTTTTTGAATCTATGGTCATGAGGGATATGGATCTATAGTTTTCATTCAATTACAATACTTTATTTCCTTTGTGATTTTTTTTTGGACCCAAAGGTTATTTAGAAATGTGTTAATTTACAGATATTTGAGGATTTCCTAATTCTTTTCTGTCATCAATTTATAATTTTATTGTCATGGTCAAAAAATATACTTTGAATAACTTCAATTTTTTAAATCTATTGACACCTATTTTAGAGCTTGGCACAAGATTTACTCAGGTAGGTAAAGTTGGTTGACAGTGCTATTCAAGTCTTCAATAATTTTGTTGATTTGCTGTTTAGTTGTTCTATAAATTATTGAGAGTGGGATGGAAATCTTCTAAGGTGATTCTCTGTTTTTTGCCTCATTTTTTGAGGGGTCTATTGTGTGTGATACATTTATAATTGATATTATTCCTGATATATTGACCATTTTATTACTATGAAATTTCTCTATCTGAAGTAACAGTTCTTGTCTTGAACTCTATTTTGTCTGATAGTGATATAGCATCTTCAATTCTCTTAAGGTTACTATTTGCATGGCATGTCTTTTTCTATAAAATGATAGTAAAACTTTCAACCTATTTGTGTACTTGAATGTAAAGTGTGTCTCTTACAGACAGCATGTATTTGGTCTTATTTTCTTACTCAGTTTGAAATCTCTGTCTTTTGATAGAAGTGTTTCATCCATTCTCATTAAATGTAATATTTGATATGGTTGGATTTATATCTGCCATCTTGTTATTTGTCTTCTGTGTATCATAACTTTTTTGTTCCTCTGTTCCTCCTTTACTGTTTTGTGTTTAACATTTTTTAAAGTACCATTTTAATTCTTTTGATTTTTAAACTATTGGAAAATTTTTCTTTGTCATTGCTCTAGAAATCACAATGTGTATGTTACTTTATCACAATCTACTTCAGGTTAATACTGGCTTAACTTCATAAAAATATAGCAACTCTGTTTCAATATGTTTATATATATTTCCTTCCTCCCACATTCCAATTTTGTTATATATACCATATCTACATATATAATAAACCCAACAATATAGTTCCACAAATTTTGCTTTATATGCTCTTATATCATTTAAAGAAATTGAGAAAAAAGAAACATTTTTATTAAATATAAAAAGTCTATTATATTGACCTACATATATATCATTCTCAGTGCTTTTCATTTCTTCCTGTGGATTTACATGACTATGTAGTGTATTTCATTTTAATCTGAAGGATTTTAGTCTTTCTTTACTATTTATAACTCTGTTAGCCACAAATTATCCCAGTCTTTATTTATCTGGGAATGTCTTTGTTGTTCCTTCATTTTTGAAGAATAGTTTTCTGGACATAGAAGCATTCTTGGTTGAGTGTTTTCTTTCTTGCAACAGTTTGAATATATTATTCCAGTGCTTTCTTGCCTCCACTGCTCATGACGATAAGTCACCCGTGGAACATAGTGTTGCTCCCCTCTATATGATGTGTCATTTTTTCCCTTGCTGCTTTTAAGAATTTTCTTTCAATAGTTTGTGATGTACTAAGTTAAGGATTTCTTCTGTGAATTTATCTTAATTGAAGTTTGATGAGCTTCCCGAATCTGTACGTTAATATTTTTCCCTCAAGTTTGAGAACTTTTTGACCATTATTTATTTGAAAAAAATTTCCTGCCCTTTTCTCTCCTTTTGGGATTCCTGTAACTATGTTAGTAGGCTTTCTGTTCTTCCATGTCTCTGAGGCTCTGCTAACTTTTATTCAAATTTTTCTCCTCTCTTCTTCAAGTTACAGAAGTTCTATTGATCTATTTCACATTCACCAATTCTTTATTCTGACAATCTCAAATTTACTCTTAACAATTATAACTTACAACTTTTGAAATTCCATTTGGTTCTTTTCATTTCTATTTCTTTATTGATGTCACTGTGGAGTCACTGTCATCACATTTTCCTCTAACTCTTAAAAATGGTTTTTGTTTATTCTTGAAACATATATTTAACAGCTACTTTAAAGGCTATGTCTGCTAAATCCAACATCTGGGCCCACTCAGAGACAGCTTTCACTGAATGCTTCCCTACCACCTCGAGCATGGATTACATTTTCCCACTTATTTTCCTTTGTATGTGTTGTAAGCTTTTGTCGGTAACCATACATTTAAAATAAAATGCTGTAGCAGTTTTTATTCTGATTTTTCCCCCTGAGGTTATTTTTTCCTGCTTTTTGTTGTTGCTGTCATGTTTTTACATAATTCACTTGAATTTTACCTGCCTCCTCTGTGGTTTGCTCTGTTTCTGTTCCATTTTTTAAAACTCTCAATTTTATTTTTAGCCAAGGGGCTACTCTTACTTCTTCACACCTCAGTGGCTAGTCAATGGCTAGTTGCTTGTCTTCAAACACCAGTAAGGCTTCCACCCTATCCTGGTGGGTCTCTGGGTGTGTTGGGAATGCATTCAAAGGTCAGGTAGTTTTCAAGTCTACCATGACTTACTTTCTTTCTGGCCCTCTTAGCTCTCCTCTGTATATGTGCTCAGCCATCCAGCCACCCAGGTGTGTGTGAGGCGCTTGTGCCCTGTTGGGGACATGTATTCAGGCCATTAAGTGTAAGGGTGTCTCTATGGTGGTTTTCCCCATGTAATTTACCAAAAAGACATCATTTTTATTCTACATTTAGCCTAGTTGTGGCCCCACATTGAGAGGAAATCTCATTTTTGTTCAACTGATACATCACTTTTATGCTACTTTTGAGTACCTCCAATTCTGATATAATTAGAAGCTGGGCCCTCCACTCCCTTGAGTCTATGTCTATCCTCAGCAGTCTATACTAGGTTAGATGTGGTCTCTCTGGGCCTGGACACAGCATGTGGTAATAGCAAAGTAACCAATATATATCCCGAGGAGAAACATAATTATCATTACAAGCTAGTCTCATAACTGAGGGAGTCATAAATTATGTTGCATAATGTTCTTGCTTAAAGTCATGAAACTATTAATATCTGAGTGCATTAATTATTCTGCTTCATGCTGTGCAGGCAGCCAAGAGACGATGGCTGCCCTTTAGCAAAAAAAAACAACAACTAACTCTTCAAATGCTTGGTATGCTTTTAGCCCATATTTCATGTTTTTGCCAGTTAGCCATCACTGTGGATGGGATGCAATAAAGAATATTGGTATACTTCTCATATTACCTATTATCAGTCCAGACAGCCTCCTTTTCTCAGTCTCATTTTTTCCCACAGTTATGTGGGCGAGGGAGGGAAGGTATAGAGGATGGAGTTAGGGAGATGGAATGTGCTTAGAAGAGCAAAGAATTTCACAAAGAGGAAAAAACAAGGAGTGGAGGAGGATAGGGGAAATATAGGGAATGTTCTAGAATTGCTTTCGCCCACCTTAGTGGAAATGAACTTTCCCCAATCCCTAAGAGCTAATGCAAGGCCACACATATTCAACCAAAAAAAACCCAAATAGCATTCAAATAAAAATTTCTTGATAACACCGCTACAGAGATTTGGTGGGTGAGGCAAAATGAAGAGGCCTGGCACAATGTGCAGCATTTTCCTACCTATGGCGGTTTTCTCTCCAATTAGCATAATCATAGTTGGTTGCATAAACTCACATTTCACCCACTAAAGATGGCCCAAGGCTTATTCCCATTTCAAAATATTTTACTTGGTAGTGTATATATGGATGTATCACGACTGTTCTTGCATTCCAAGAAATGTGAGAGTTCCATAAAAATATTTTGCTTTCAATAAGTCAATGGACTTTCATTTAATCTTAACTGTGCTCTAGAAAACAAGAAACAAAAGAAGATCTTTGGCAGGTTATGTATACATTTGACTGGGATGCAAGAGGAAGGAAGAATATTTCATTTTTACTGAGGCAAACTGCTGAGAAAAATAAGAGGTTATATTCTTTTTGGCAATCTGCTTCTTACCCAAAACATAAATCTCACTGTTGAGGACAGCTGTACTGAATCGGTACTTGGAGTACTTCATGGGTGCCCGCTCCGTCCATTGATCTTGGCTGGGGTCATACTGCAACAGTTTGCTGCTTAATCGGTCAGGTTCTTCATCAGGAAGATCCATCTGTATGAAATATGACAGCCAGTATAACAACATACCATTTAAGATATTTTGTGAATCCATGAATGCAATTAATCAAAGCGGACAGCAAAGAGATAAATAGAGGTTAACTGTAGTGGCTCAAACAGACCACATATTGTGACTTGGGGTTATAAGTACACTGTCAACATCAGAGGAATTTGTATGCTGCAATAAAGGGGCTAAGCGTTGGGTTATAGCAAACAATCTGGGATCCAAGCAATGAGACAATATAGCATGTTTTAAAAAATGAAGCAGCTGCAAAGCCTTAAAAATGAAACCAAGCTTTCTTGAACAGTATGTGAAGTGCAATTTTATTTTACCAAACATTGTAGTGGTAGATTTTAATAATAATATGAGAAGCTAATTTTAGTAATTTATAAGGCATTTTTCATTATAATGTTTTCTAATCCAAATGGAACAAAATTACAGAAACATTTTAGTGTTTTAGTAGTAAGAGTATTTTTATACCATAATTTTCACTGATAATATAGGAATGGTCTGATTAGATTTTCAAAGAGTATGGATTAATATAAATTACTTAGTTATTTCATGTATTTTACCTATACATACTTTAATGACTAGAGACAGTACAAATTGAATGACAGTGTACTCTTACATGGATGTATGTGGCTTTTCCTACTCATAAACTTCAGGTGAAGAGATGATCTTTATCTACAATGTGTCAGGAATTTTTAGACTTCATGTTAAGGATGCTTAAGTGTCTTTTGTTGCAGATGTAGGTGTTCAACACCTAAATAATTGCCTTATCTATGAAAGTTGTATGCAATTAATTTTAGTTAACTACTTTATATCAGGAGTTATGATCATCATGTGCAATCACAACCCCGTGTTATCTTGCGATTTAATATGTTGTATTAGGAATAGGCTAGCAAAAGCTTTTGTTAGGCAATAAATATCGACAAGTCATCTGTTTAAAGATATTATAAATTAATACCAACATTATTCTTTTAATTCTCCTTCCAATTTAAGTATTTAATCTCTATTTTAGTGAAAGAAAAGCAAAGAAAGGCTTCTAAGTTGCCTTTGGAGCTCATGCATGCAAAAATTGATATGTAATGGCTAGTTCTGAAAAAGCTTACTTACAAATAATTTGTCAAGTTTCAGCCACTAGTTGTGATTCTGTATGACCTTTTGCTACACTGCACAAATCTAAAGATGTATTAAATGTGAAGTTTATGTTTTAAAAACAGGTATGACATGCTATAAATGGCAAAATCCAAGCTTAGGCAATGAATGTGAGAAGCATCTGTTTTATCATGAAGCATATCTGGAGAAACAAGAAATGAAAGCAGCAAAAATAAATTTCCTTGTTATGGGGCTTGGACGATGAACTAGTAAGATTATTTTTTATTGGAAAAACTGGATGGCCAGGGCAGGAGGCCGCTGGAGTGATACTCCCTTGGGAGATCTGAGGCCCCGGGAGGGACACCCAGGGGAAGAAAAGGTCGCCGTGGTCACGCTCCAGTGACTTCTCAGTTTTGCTGTGCCACCCCTTGCCGGGCTTCAATATAAACAGTACTCTGGTGCTCTATCTGCTCATGCCCAGCAGAAGATGTAAAGGGTTTACTGTGGAAATGATTGTGCTATCACAGAATGAGTACTGTTGAGTTTCAAATACGGAAAGGACCAAAGAGCTACTTGCCTCACTCAGGCCATACAGCTTTTAAGCAGACAGAAGTGGACGAGGATCCAGCCTCTGCCTCCCACTTAGATGCTCCCTCCAGATAGTTCCTCAGCATGAGCACCTCTCATCATTAGCAAGGATGGGAAGGATTAGGAAGAATACAGCGAGAATGCTGAATGAAGTCATTTCTATGAATAACATGCTTTAAAATTCATCCTCCCAAATGGCAACATTTGAAGATCTTAAGTTTAATATTCTATAAAATGAAAGGCATTTCACCAAAACTTGGGCCATACTCTTGCAGTGTTCAACAACTACATTTTTTTTTAACTTTTTTTTTTTTTTTTTAGAGGGCATCTCTCATATTTATTGATCAAATGGTTGTTAACAACAATAAAATTCAGTATAGGGGGGTCAACGCTCAATGTACAATCATTAATCCATCTCAAGCCTAATTCTCGTCAGTCTCCAATCTTCTGAAGCATAATGAACAAGTTCTTACATGGTGAACGAATTCTTACATAGTGAATAAATTCTTACATGGTGAACAGTACAAGGGCATTCATCACAGAAACTTTCGGTTTTGATCATGCA